ACCATTCCACAGGTGCATGTTCATTAATTGATTATGGTTAATTGAACATGCATGGAAAACATTGTTTAAACCCTTTACAATGAAGATCTGTAAAGTTATTTGGATTTCTAAAACATTATTGTTGAAATACACAGTCCTGAAAAAGGGACGTTTCTTTTTTTGCTGAGTATATAATTGTGAAAATGTTTTAGACTATGACTTGGTACAATTAAACTTTCATTTACTGCATGTTATGTAGATTTAGTTGACTAAATATCCTGTAAAATTCATTGACTAAAACTAGATTAAAACTAAAAAATAAGAAGGCTAAAATATTACTAAAACTAAATTGCATTTTTGTCAAAAGACTTAATCTAAATCAAAATATGTTGTCAAAATTAAGTCTGGGTTACACTGTGAATGAAAAACTGTCCTATGCTTACAGCGGATCACATTGGCCTGAACTGTGACGTCTCCAGTGAGCAGGATGTGCAGAGAACCTTTGAGCAGATCCTCCGCGAGTGTGGGAATGTGGATTACCTGATCAATGCGGCTGGCATCAGTAGGTATGTCTGTTTAGGTGGGTGGGGACTTGAAGTCATGTGATGGCAATTTTTGCTATAATTTGCTTAAATTACCAGCAGTCTGCATCATCATGTAGAGTTGGGGACTGTCTCTGTCAGGGACGCTCTGCTCGCTCGGACCAGACCGGAAGACATGATGTCCATCCTCCACACCAACCTGTTGGGTACGATGCTCACCTGCCGGGCTTCACTAAGGAGCATGCTCCAGAACCGGGGTGGAGCCATTGTCAACATAGGTGAGGGTACAGCCCTGACGCACAGGCATGTACGTACATACACCATAAATCAGGTGCACTATCACAAAACGTTAAGTATTCCATCAGTTTCTTTGCACTGTCTCCCAGAAACCTATTTAAGCATTTTGACCAGGAGGTGGTGCCAGAATAAAAAAAAATGGTTTCCCAGTTACTGTTAAGCTGGTTTCACACCAAACCGACAGCAAAAAAACTAGCACCAACTAAGGCTGACGAACAAACAGTTCCCATCCCCTTCTGTCTGTTGTGAAAGTTTGTGCTGGCCCACACCAGCACGAATACAGGTGACAGCTGACATAAAGCATAATCAGAGAACTCAGTTTCACCAGCTATCTTCAACGCTGATTCAACATACTAAATCGGCCAAAACAGCGCATATACGGGGCTGACTATGCTGTGGACACTAGGGGTGTAATGGTGCAGTTTCCCCACGGTTCAGTATGTGTCACGGTTTTTGGGCCATGCTAATAGTACGGTTTTGTTATTTTTATATTTAAGAAGAAAATAAAAACACATCACCTTTTAACTGAATAATTAACTCTTCATTATTCTGTATGAAAACTCTCCATTCAGAAAAATGGCAGCATGACTAATTATGCCTAGTTTATGTCTCTACTGCATGAAATCAAGGAGAGAAAAACAGTAAAATTAAAAGTGTTTCTGAACTTTGATATCCTGTAGGTGTATTGTCTATACTATTCTACAATTTTAAATGAACAGTGTCCCTAGTATGTATAGTACGTGTACAGGCAATATTAAATGGATTTTTGTAAGAAAACTTAGAATACCAAATCTTACCTTTTATAAAGATAAATACTTTTACTTGACAAGAACATATACAAAGTTAAGCATTTTA